AAAGGACCGAAAAAATATGCCCTCCTACCAAAATCGCTTCCCCCCAGTCAACCGCGGGATATTTGAGCAGGTTGCAAAGTCGATTCCGCATGTTCATTGCATACAAGAATCCATAACATTTGCTCTTTCCCCCATGTAACCGCGACCGACACACAACATGGTTTACACACACCGTGTCTGAAACTTTCTACCGAACAGTGGGCTGGTATACTCGGCGCCGATCAGGCTGATGGAGACCGTGTTGGGAATAGAACAGCTATGAGAAGATTTGCTATGAATCACCCCATGTTCAGAAACATGTAGGACTCGAGGCTGGTGCATGCTGGAAGCTGATGGTGTGGGATGTATATGGTGCTCTTATGTTCAGGGGCTTTTGCAAGGCGAGTAGTCTACCCCTTACACCGCGGAATGTTACGACTTATGGTTTTCGTTCCCCCGAGTGTCTGCAGTCATTTACTGACACGCGTTACGACTTCGGTAGTGCCCTGTACCGGGGCCAGTCGTTGTTAGGATGATCGAAGGGATCCTTCTCTGGCCGACTATGCAGTTTCGTGCATCCCCGAGATGATCTGTGATAGATTTCACCTCCTCATGCCTTAGTCGTGCACTTTGTTTTTTCATCTTGTTGTTGGTGATTTAACTGCTATGGGATCTCACGGACTCCTGCATGTCTGACAACAGTCTTCATTTGACTTGTAATACCTGGCCTCAGCAGGTACTGATGGCGACTCTACGACGTTCCCCCTTATATCATGTTGCGCTTGTCCATCATCTTCTGGACGCCATGTACCTTGCCTTTGAGATCTCTCTGATGGGACCAGCCTAGACAGTCTGTGACCCACGTGTTTTAGTATGCACCAGAAGGTCTCACGGTTGGCATTATGTGCTGAGGCTGTGAGTCAACCTTTGCAGCTGTGGGTTCCTTTTGGCAGGTCGGCAGCATGCTTTAGTTTCTCATTGTTGTGGTGCTTTCATTCGGTTGGATATTGTGTTTGGACATACTCTCCTTCACGACCTCTGCTGTTCGCTGTGCTGATGCGACTTGGTCCTCCACTGGTCTGCTTAATCCTCTACGGGCCGGGGGATACGGTCCGGGACGCATGCTGGCCCCGCGGGGCGGTGCGTTTCTTTCCTGAAGCCCCTTTTTATGTAGGTCATAGGATCGCTCAGCGAGCATCTCTGTGTTGCCATGCATCATGCATGTCCCGACCTTCGCGACGCTTGGACACCATGCAGCGATTCAAAGTCAAAAAGGTCCGAACGTCTCCTCTGCCGCTGCCACGATTGCTGCTGGCAGTCGGATCTCTTTCGATAACACCTCAGGGACGAGGCAATCGCAGTCTTTGCTGCAACCGAAACCACGCACCTTCATCTGCGACGGACCATGCAGCGGAGGAGTCCGCCTGAGCCGTTGCATCCCGAAGGAACTGGCACAGGCGATGGCAATGGCGGCTGGGGCCCTGTCTGAGATGCGCGATGCGCGGGAAGATCTCGTGACTTGCAACGCGCTGGCCCTGGATATCAGCAACACTTTCAGTCCGACGGACGAAAACGCCCCATTGACAAAAGGCTCGAAAGTCCTTTGCCTGAAGGCTTTGGGGTCAGCATTTGGCAGCTCAGGCCAGGATGGTTAACAGACGCGTCAGACAGGTCACAACATGTCGGAGCCGGAGAGAATGCGGAACCTGCACCTGCTGACAAGTGGCTCTGTGCCCTTGGGCATAGGTCGACAGCTTTGTGGAACTGACCATGTCCGCTGCATGTGCCAGAATGCGATACGATGCTGTGACCTAGCCGTTGCTGGAGTAAGTGGACATGAAGGCCCATGAAGGCATCCGGCAGTCTGCGTGCCCGTGAACTCCGGTAAAAGTTAACTTGAGCTGCTGTTACAGATCCCGTAGTCGTGAGTATTGTGTGGTTGACCATGCTTGTCCGGTTGCAACGTCAACTGGTCAATCTCCAATGCGGCAGCGAGGATCATGTTCAGTGATTACAATCTGCCAAATGCACAGCCTCACAAAGAAAGCTGCAGCTAGGGAGGCGCAGTTGCCTTTACCTTGACTCCCAGCATCGGCGAGCCGGTCCTGGCTGACTCGCTCGATTTCTGTGTCTATAAGTCTATACAACAGCTTTCCACCAGGGCACCGGCCCCGCATCTGAAGTTCCCACCTCGGCTCGGCTCCAGGAGTGAAAAAAAAAGGGGCCGTGCCTCGGTTTCACCGGGAATCTCTGGAGCAGCGGCTGCGGCTGGAGATGCGGCCTGCGCTAAGAAGGAGAGACACCGTAAGGGAATCTCTGCAAAAGTCAAAGGCGGCCTTCGGGGCCAGGGTGCCCTGGCTGGAGCTGTAGGGTGCCGCCCAAGTCTGTCGCCTTGAAAAACTCACCGGGGTCCGCTTTGGGGAACGCGCCCAAAGCTCCGTAGAACCCGAGCAGTTCTGGGCATGCTGCCGCTGACTTGCGCCGAACTGCTCCAGGTTGGCGAAGCCCTGCACAAGAGGGCTCTTGAGTCGAAGCTCTGATACCGATGGCAAAAAGGCTGCGAGCTCGAATGCCTTGGCAGGTTGGTTCAGAAAGTATGGCAGCTGCACCTCAGAAAATGCAATCGCTCACGACAGGCATGAAGCAGACAACGAATTTGATTATGCGATGATGCTATTTGTTGCAAGTCTGGGCAACGGGCATGAACTCCGGAGTAGTGGTCACACTTCTCGCGGCTGCAGAGTCCATCCCTGAGCAGGGCCGCAAGTCAAAGGTTTGCTGGAAATGCGGATAAGATCGAGTCTGTGGCTGCATGAGGCAAACGGTGAAGCCCTCATTATTTGCGTCCTTGATGACCTGAGTTGACACGCAACATTGCGGCCGGAACTATGATCGAACTCTCAAACTGCCAGCCTTCTGCGGGTTCGTGAGGGCGTTGACCTGCCGGATCCATTTCTTGTGATCTGCTATTGTTGTGGTGCGCGGATTCTCACAGCCTCCAGCCGCAGCCACAGTGGCAATCGCGTCGTCAGACGAGGATAGTGCCCACACTGAGCTGCCTTTGCAGACTCCAAGGTTCTGATTCCAAAGCACAGCGGAACCTGCGTATCCCCTGAGCAAGTGGCAGCTCGGATCAACCGAAAGGCCCCTTTGTCGGAGATCTGGCGGAAGTCGCATTCAAAGAGTCACTCGGAGTTCTCGCTTCACATGCTTCCATCATTTCTGTCTTCAGGCATGTTAACACCCGACGCATCGACGTCATTGTGCGAGATGTGGATACCATGCATCGGGAAAGCCTTGCGAAGCAACCATCACTGGGCATTGAGACGGCAATCAGCTCCTGAGACTGATGCCTCAGGCTGGGTGTAGAGATACTCCACCAGCGTGTCCACAAATGAGTCCTCGGAAGCCGTGCTTAACTTCACCCTTGCAAGTTGCAAGTCTGGCAGAGGATGGCAAATCCTTGCCAGGATGCATCAATTGAGTTTCTGTAGGCTTTCAGAACGACGCATGGTACTCGATGCCCTCGCAGCACCTGCGCTCCCACTGCCGAAGATGCCCACGAGATCTCGTAGCAACTGCTAGTTTCTCATGTCACCTGGAAGAGTTTGTCGAGGCCGTCCGTGCCAATCTCGTTATCAGAGAGGTCCTTCTCAGTGCCAGTGTCTCTTCTCAAGCCAAAGCTTCAGCTGAGGGCAGGGCCACATAGGCTCCGCTCTTCTTGACATAGGGAAAGTGGTTGACCTGCGAGGCAAAGGTTGCGAGCGCGTGGTGACTCTGAGAGCCTCGGACTCTGAGAGACCGGGCGACCAGGGGCATTTGCTCATCCAACCAGTCGCAGAACCGAAGCCTCAAGGACTCAAGGCACGGAAAACATCCCTGTCTCGCGGAGGAAATGCTCAACGCGGATCTCGCAGTCTTCCCCTAAGGTGCTACTTTGGCATCTCCCCAGGACCGTGGCAGGTCAGCATTGTCCATGGGCGGGTTGCGACGCTGCAGCTCGATGTGCACCTTTCACTCGGTGCGGTGCGCACTGAAAGACAAAGCCTCCGTCTTCAAACAGAGGGGGACCTGGGAGGATGCTGGGAGGATTGGAAGATGGGAGGACGGGCGCCTGCCTGCCCCTGGCGCACGATGACACAACGTTCGTCCCAGGACAGCGCCTGCGTCCCGGTCTCTGGCAGAGGCTCCGTACAGCGCGAAGTACTTTGTCTGCCCCAGCCTGGTCAAGGCGGTCCTGTCTGGTGCAGGCTACAGAATGCTACAGCTCAGCTCAGCGTCGTGTGTGCCCAGATGCAAGGCTGATGCAAGGCTGTCCTGGTCCAAGAACTCACGTTCTGGAACCTCCAGCATGCATGTCGAGCAACAGATCACCAAGAGTTACTCGGTGCCACCGGGAGCCTGTGCCAGGTGGTCTGTCAGAGCTGTATCTCCTTCGGAGGTCTCCTCCATGAAAGCCGCGAGACTCTCCACTCCACCTTTCTCAGAAGACCCGGGCCCGGATCCTGCAGCCAGCTGGGTGTCCAGGCCTTTGCCGCCTTCGAAACATCCGAGTCTCGGTGCTCTGAGTTCGACTTCTTTTTGCTACATGACGGCTACCGTCACTCTGAGTAGCCGTGACTATAGCCCTTGCGGCCCCGGCCTCGGCCTCGGGAGCAGGCGGAACTTGGAGGACTTCGGCCAGCTGCTTCAAAGGAAGCGGTGCTGGCTGAGTCAACTGCGGCTCGGGAGCCTCACAGAAGAAACCGCCCCCCTACCGGCCGCGCAGAAGAGCTTCTTTCTTCGCTCGCCTCTGTCCGCTGAACTTTGGCTGGCCGGCTAAGGTCGGGAGCCGCTGAGGGCTTCGGTGGCTTGGCCGGTTCTTCGGACTCGGCCGCTCTCTTGCCCGTGTCATCCTGAGAAGAAGCAATGCGCTGCATCGAGGCATCACCTGGAGCGAGATCTTAGCTGAGTGCAAGACCTCAAGAGCCACTGCTTTGGGCTCAGAGTCTAGGAGGTCAGCTGGAGCCTGCAGAATCACCGCAAAAGCAGAACAGACTGTAGGCGGCGCACTCCTGGCCTCTTCAGCCTCCTCTGCGAAAACCTCGTAGGGATCGGACCTTGCACTTCCATGGGGGTTCTTCCACCATCTTGCGACGAGACTGGGGAGTGCACTCGGCCGTCACGTAAGGGTCTGTCACAGCCGCATCCTGCAAAGAACGACACGATTTTGCAGCTGAGAACTCTGGCCACAGCTGATCCTCCGGCTGCTCTTGTTCAGCCGTCTCCTCTGGCGCTGGCTCCTCCCATCAGGAACGGGTACACAACATCCTTCATCTCCCGCCGCCAGCCTCTGCATCTGCGTCAGCGGCAGCAGATGCGTACCTTTCGGGCACGCTGAAATTCGCGGATTCTTCCTCGCGAGATATGACACGGCTCGGACCAAGAAAGTCCATCGTCATCGCCGTAGTCGCTCACATCGTCCTTGTCGGCGTCCTGCAAGGTCCAAGAGCTCCAGAAAAATCCAGTCACGCCAGGGCTCTCCGGCCTTGGCCTCTGACGCCGGCGGGTCCATTTGCCTGAAGTCTGCAAATGAAAAGTGGGACCAGGGAAGACCCGCCCGGAATCGACGGCCTGGAACCCGCAGCCCTCACGGGACAAGCGCGTCCCAAAGAGGTGCATCTACCGCACAGTGCTATAGGAGGTCTACTCCAAAGTCTCAGGCTGGAGTCGCATCCTTTTGCACTTCCATTTCCTGCTCTTCGTCTTCGGCTTGGCTCAGGGTCTTGGGTCGACACTGCATTTTTGTGATGCCTTCCCGATCATCTGGGGAGCTGTCGCTGTTGCATATCTGCTTTTTGTATTTTTTGTTTGAGACAGAGCATGCCTTCAGCTACTTGGCCTGGCTCTTGAGCAAGCTCTTAAAGCGAGACAGAACGAGCCGGAGGTTCGCCTCTCCAAAACGAGACAATGCTTCTCATGGCTCGCAGGTCTCGCAATGAGTCCTGCAGCACAGAGGAGTCGAGCTCCGAGCCCCCATCGACCTGCGAGCGGAACCGCGCTTTGCACTGGCAGTTTCTCGTGAGCTCGCGACTTGCTCCGAGCGGGCGCAGCTTTTCATGGACGCCAGCCGAAGAACTTCCAACCTCTGATCTGCAGCACTTGCAACACTGGTGGGTGGGAGGGGAGGAGTTGTGGAAAGAGAAACAGAGAAGGAGAGAGAGAGAGAGAGAGAGAGAGAGAGAGGGAGAGAGAGAGAGAGTGTGAGCGAGCGGCGTCTACACATACAAACCACGAGAAGAACTCAAGCGATCGAAGAAGATACTGCTTTTCCTTCAGACATGGAGACAGCACTTGTGTTCTGTTTCTACTGCACTAGGACATCTCGAAGTATGGTGACATCTAGTGACTCGTGACTATTCCTCGAAGCAATCGCAGCTGCCTTTGGAAGCTTTACCTGAAGCAAGCTTGTGGTTTGTACCATGATTGTTCTATTTCCTCTGAATCGCTTCGCTTGCCGTCGCGCCCCATGTTCTGTGCTCTCCCTCAAGTCGCCGGCTCCGCCCAACTGAGGATGACACCGTCCCAGGACAGTGGCTTGGCCAAACGGCTGTCCGTCACCCTCAGGCTCTCCACCTGGGCTTCCGCTTCACTTCGAAAAGCCTGTCGCTACACCATCTCAAAGTGCAGGAAAAGCATGCCTTGCCCATTGTATTGCGCAAGTGCGCGCCAGCCAACAGCCGCTCACACATCTTGAGTCCCGGGAGACTACAGTACCACTGTGTAAAAAAGGGCCTTCGCACTTTGTTTGCATACTCAAAGTAAGGATTTGTGGTGCACGGTAGTATCTCACCCTCCTGGTTGAACCACATTTTCAAAGACTCTGCTGTCGGCTTTGCAGGACGAAGCATCCGGACACAGGCACAGATCGCAAGACATGTCGCGTGAACCGAAAACGATTTCGCAAAGCTCGGAGCAGTTTGCACCGAATCAGCTGTGGTTGTCGATACACTTCTCAAGTTGTGGATTCGTTGATGATGCTGCTCATCCGTGAGAAGAGATTGCGAAACATCTTTGAGCTATTGTGCAAAAGTGATGTTTCGAATGCTACAGCCTTGCGGTCCAGAGTTTACAGCAGGGGCCAACAAGAACCACTGAACCAGGCAGACGATAGAAGCCAGTTCAGAGTTGCGCGTCGAGGAGTTTGGGTTTTAGGTATAGGCGGTATAGGGTTTAGGCGACGATAATACTTCAACGATTGTACGATGACACACACATCATCATGACAAACATAGCAGGGTGCAGGTTCATGTGCGGCTCGGGGCATGCGGTGTGAGCCCCTTAATGTTTACTCGCACTCAGCAACCGGCGAGCTGGTCATCAGCTGCCGTCCACATCGACGTCCTGATACGGATGCCGCCGAGTCATCCGCTAGATTAACAAGCATTTCGACTCAGTACAACTGTAGGCTGCTTTTGGCTGTGGTTCGCAGCCATGGACAGGTATTCAGAATTACTGAAGTAAACACTGGAGGCGCATGCAACTTATTGCGCAAACTGCTCCTAAAGCTCACCAGGGATGCTGCCACACTCAAAGGCGAAGAAAGCGAAGCCCGGCCTTTCCAGGCTGGCGCGCGCATCTTCGAAGGCTTGGATCGCCGCCGCGCGAAGCTGCCTTGGGGGTCCAGGCCACTTCCGCCAAACCCCACCCTGCGGCATAAATGCGGCCGGACAGCCCTGCCGGCTTCCACGACGTGAACGGTGCTTGCGCCTTCCAGTCTTCTGCAGAGAAGCTGCGTCCCAAGTACAGGCACAGCTGCAGGACTACCAAGAACCTCCTCCTCCACAGCCAGGAAAAAATAAGCCAGGCCTGAACGACATGAGCAGAAGATGGCAGAGCTTCTCCGGTCCCCTGCGCTCACGGCCTTTGTTGTAGAAGCAGTGAGCTGTGTTGGGGTGCCGGTAAAGGCCGGCATCACATGCCTGGGACGGTAGAAGTGAAGCAAAGGTGGCAGATGGCGGCGGTCAGAGAGACTACGACTACGCCGGTACGCCACAAGCCAAGGTACCCGGATGACCTCGTGCCAGCGACCCAAGCGCAGATTTGCCACTGCCATGTTGATCCAAGGAGCCTTGAAGTCAGGGTCAAGCTGCAGGGCTGCCTCGAACTGTGCGATGGCCTTCTTCCAGAGCTCTGTCTCCAAGCACTGCATTCCCAGAAGGTAGCGGGCTGTGGCATTCGTGGGCATTACCGAGATCGCCCTCTGAAAGTGGTCTGCGGTCTTGTTCCAGCGGCCCATCAATGCCTCCAAAACACCGAAGTTCCGGTGGATGTAGGACTCCACGAAAGGCTTGCAGGTCACGCTGCCCGGTTCTTTGCACTTCGACAAAGATGTCTGAGCTAGCCCCAGGACCATCTGGCTCTTGGTGGGGTCCCGCATGCGCATGGAACACGCCAGCCTGGATGCAACGAAAGCACCAAGCTCAGAAATGTCCGGGTAGCGCCGCAGCAGGGTCTGGGGAGACAGGCTCGCGTTGGTGAACACCTGCTGAACTGAATCACCCAAGGCAGCATAGACTTCCTGGAGCTGTTTCACATCCACGGGTGCAGTGCCTTGCCGAGCCTTGCTGATGACCTTGGCAGTAAGGTCTGAAGAAGTAGTGTCCTCTGCGGGAAGCTTCCAATAGCCACCGAGCCACTCAATGCTTAGGGATCCTGGCAGTGCCTCGCCAGGGAATTCGACAGCCGGTTCGGGGTCGGGAGCATTGTGGAAAGTCAACTCCTCCTCCTCCTCCGCCTCTGACTCAGCTGGCTCCTCCACACGATGCAGGGAGAAGCCAACCCGCATGGTCCCATCAAAGGCTTTGCCTTCTTGCTGCACCGGGGCAGACTTGCAAAGCTCCTCGGCAACGAAGACAGGACACTCGTTGGACCACCAGTGTCTGATCTGTTCCTGGAAACAGCCCCACTTGCATTCGACAGGGAACTCTCTGTCTTGGCCGTCCAGCCAGGCTTCCACGTTGTCCGGCAGAATCAGCAAACGCTCGAGGGCCAAGTCGAGATCTGCAGCCAGGATCGGAATGCAGCCAGCACCCCGTGCCCGGTTGCAGAGTTTCAGCACACAGCCACCCTCCGTCGAGTGTAGCCCAAGTCCAGCAATGATGTCGGCGGCCAGGTGATCTCTGTAGCTACGCCGGAAGCAGACTTGCCTCGGCATAAGATGTCCATAGCCGCCCTCAACGAAGAAGTCACGCGTCAGCTTCTTGTTTTCAACAAGAACGGCACGATGCAGTGTCTCCTCGAGCTTCTTATCTGCTTTGAAGCTTTCCTTGATCGCGGCCCCGTAGCCGGAGAATTTGGAGCTACGGCCATCTCCCGTTTCAAGGACTTTGACACGACTCTCCAGAGGAAGCTCCGGGTCGTACTTCAGGTCTAGGATGCCCCAGAAAACCGCGGGATTTCTTTGACCCCGCTCCGGTCCTCCACCCTGCTGTCCCGGGCTTCCATCCTCCTTGGGGCTTCCGTCGGACGCTTGTGGCGAAAGAGACACCGACGTCATGTGCTCCAGCAGTTGCATAGCGCTGAACTTCGAACCCTGAATTGCAGAAACCCAGCCGTGATCATCGTATGCTGCCTGAGGGCCGGCGGCCATGCCGGAGAAGAGATTACGGACGCAGCGCAGCAGCACTTTACCCCCGAGCTGGCCAAACAGGGATGCAATCCTGTCAGCTTCTGCTTCGCATCGCGAGGTCAGCGCCAAGACCGGCTGCTGCGAGGCAGTGGATGTAGCCAAGATGTCGGCAAGAAGGGGCATCCAGCGAGCCAGCCGCTCATCTGCGTGAAAGCAAACCACCAGGTCTGGCTTGGAAGGCGGCTGCTGTGCACCCGCACTGACTCGTACCCGCCTCCCAGACGGAACGTCATCGCTGCTGAGGTCCCCAATCAGGTGAAGATTCACCCGCTCTGCCTCGCCACTAAGCAGTCCTGCTGCATCCTCGCAGTAGCCGAGTCGAGCAAGCCATCCTTCCTCACCATCGCGTGCACCCAACACCCAAACATTCAGAGTCGATCGGACCGCCTCTGACATGGACCATGCTTCCCCAGCAGCTCCAGCACTCTTCCCATACTCTCTCAGCATCATGTCAAGAAACGCGATCGTACGGAAGCAGGAGCGCTTCCGTCGCTCCAGAGGTGTCAAAGCCGCATGGTGGATGTATGCAAAGGGGATGGATGCCGGCATGCATCTCACCGGCTGTCTGCGTGGAGGGCGAGCCTGTTGGTCAGAGACGGGGCCCATCCACAACACGTATTGGTAAGATCCCAGAAGCACGCTGACTTGGTCCAGTGGCGAGATGATCTCCAACTCTCGAAAGACCTGCGAAAGCGCACGTAAGCCACCGCTGCCGTGGCCCTTCTTTCTCAAGGTTGGCCGCGCACTGCGGCAAATAAGCTTGCTGAAGTCTCTGATCATCTCGATGATTCTCACCTGCTTGCCTTCTACCCGCTCGAGTTGCTCTTCGGGCTTGCACGCCAAGATGGAATCAAGTTGCACCTGGACGGGCTCGGCAGCCACAGCGTTGATGATCCCTTGCAGTGCATCAGCCAAGGCAACGACTTGCTGAGGGGCTGTTGGCCTCCTGACGACCTCTTCAGCGGGCCAGACATGCTGAACCATCCGAAGC